CGTTGCATTGCATCGCGCCGCGTAAACATGAAACCATGTCTACGTTTGTGATCGGAGAAATGACAAACAAGCGCTACTCTACACTGCTCAAAACTCGCGTTTGAATCGTCAGTGGCAAATCCTTTAAATGAAAACGTACGTACAGTCTGTGAGTCAGAAAAGCCGGCATTGTAGTCTAGTCTACCAGGATCAGGAAACAGTCCTGCGAGAATAAGAGAATAAAAGTTACGCCTTCTTTCTTTGCGTGAACATTTGGGCGGCATTATGCAAATCTTCCCACATCGTGACGTAGACATGTGGGGGCGTGTTAGAACGAGCCGTTTTAGGTAGGCGTGGTTGACTCTTAACTTTTATAAAGAATATCTCTTTGGATTTGAGACTTTAGTCTTTGCAACTTTACAGATCTTCTTTATGCACCAAGAGCTTGTAACACTCCGAAGAGAAAGGAAAAATTTAAATCGCATCATATGACCCCTTTAAATATACTAGAGATATACCAGAAATATACTAGACTTGTCTGACTTTTATAAAAATATATAATTGTCATAGAGCAGTCATCAAATATTTTGCAAGTTTTAACAACTTAATTTAAAAAAAAAATGTATATATGATAAATAATAGATGTTTATATTTTCTATCCAGTGTTCAAAACATGGAACTATGGCAGTGGGCGTATCGTTTTCGACACGTGCTGAACGCGGTAGACCAGTTACAACAGACTAGGCTCACAGAAAGGAGGGGTTTAGAGAGACTGAATCTTAGAACTGCTTCGAACGAATCGTTGGAAAATGAGGTGATATTAAATGCATATTTTTAGAAAACAAAAGCATTTTTTGACCTTGCATGCATGTAAACCTTTTGTATGAGACTCCCAAAACAATATTAGGAACCTTAAAAATGGCGTAATAGGGGCACTTTAATTATTTTTCTATATATTATTTAAAAAACTAAAGTGTATTTTTATTGTTGTGGATGTCCCAACTGGGATACAGGACTTGCAATTTTCAGAGAGTTCAGTTATAAATGTTTGTATTGTATTTTGGTTGCATTTGTGCGTTAATGAAAATGTAAATGGTTGTGTACAATAGGCTTAAATATGCCTAAAAATATTATAGCGTAATAATATCAATATATTGATATCATCGAATCATCAAATATCATATCACTGGCTAAGAGAATCAATTTCATTTATTCACGTATAAAAACTGATCAACACGCATATATAGAGCACACCAGATATGATAAGCAGAAGCTCAACTGTATGTGCATTATGCACAAGTACAAACCTCACTGGTTCTTGCAGAAGCTCGTATGTACTTGTGTGACGCATGAGAATGAACCTCGTTGGTTTCTGTGCAACAAGCAAGCACATTTGAGCTTTCATCTACCATTTTTGATGTTCTTAATGTATGTGTTTATATGTGAATAAAAGTCTAAATTAAATGTTCATCATATATAAAGTGATTGTGTCTTTTCAGAAGACTTGGATTAAACCGCCTAATTCTTTTTTAAACTTTTTGAAGCGTCACATTTTTGATGTAACTTAATTTGTGTACTGAAGCAGAACAAAAGTTTTATGATTTTGGAACATCATGAGATGAGGGGAGGGGGGGGTGGAGAATTATGACAGAATTTCCATTTTTGGTTATCCCTTTAATTAAGCATATTATGTTTAAGAAAATATATATATATATTTGAATTTAGACTTGCATTCTACATTTCTGATTTGCAAATGTTTTCAGAACAAAGATGCATACGAACCATTCTGTAAAGTTCCACTGGTGACATCATCTAAGGAGGAACAGAGGCTCATTGCCACTGCTAATAAGGTACAAATGCTTTATCATGTCAATTTCAAAGAAATACAATATTGTTTCACTGAGAACAGAACC